AAAAAAAAGAAGATTGTACGTCTCTCAGTGTATGGGACAACGAGGTCCCTCAAATATATATATAAGTCACATAAATAGCTAAATCTTGAATTTTTGGTATGATAATCTTGACTTAGTTTGTTTTGGATCCACTCTTCGTATATTATATAAACAGTCCTTAACACAAATGCCATCACCAGTCAAATAGGTTATAATATATATATCATCGTTCCCTAATTAAGAGTTTTATACCTATATTTCATAAGATGTTTAACTGTGTGGTAGCAATCTAAACTATGGCCATTAAGACCTTGAATGATAACCGAACAGGTCAAAACATATATGTATAGATATTTGTTATTGTTCATACTATCTCTAATATCTACTTCAAATATATATATATATATTTATGAATAAGATATAAAAAACCTTTCAATATGCGTCATAATTTACTGAATATATACATCTATATTATACATATACTAAGGAGATATAAACAGAAAACTTAATTTTCATCGTGCAGAATGTCATGTACATATATAGTAAACGTTAGAAACACATGCGTCAATATTTGACACCCATTTTTGTTACTTGCAACATCTCCACATCACACATGCGCGTAAGTGACACACACATACCTCACTTAAACTTAACATTCCTTTAGGCTTTAGCTTTCTGGTAGTGGTAGAGAATATGAAACAGATATATAGTCACATATCTCGAAATAGAAAGTGATTATAATCAGGTGAGAACAAAAAAAAAAGAGTGATTATATAATTACAAACCAAATGAAGAAAAATTCATCAAAATTTCCTATATATTTGGGTTTATTAATTAGGAATAGCCATAATTTGGTCTCTCATACTCATCACACGCTCAATCATGGCCGTCGAGAACAAAAGTCAACGGCATCGAGATTTTTTCTTAAATCTTTTTTCTTCTTTAATTGATTTGTTTTTCTTTTCAAAACTTTTCGTTTTTATTCCAACGGTGTCCGAAAGTGGTGAACTAAATCCAAAAGTGGGATTTTATGTTGTGCGCTTTTTTTTGGTTACAAGAATCTATTTTTAAAACTTATCTTTAAATTATATATGTTGCAGATTTTCTTTCTGTGTCGCTTATGAGAAAGTTTACCAAACAAATATTTTTCAACATATATATATGTATACTAACATAGTTTGATCCAAAAAAGTTGTAATGACATATTGTTGGATTCATAACTCTTATATAATAAATAAAAACGGCCTCGTAATTTTTTTTTTGAAATGTAAGATTATATATTCATCATATATGACTAACTTTGTTTGCTAGATTTGACCAAAAAAAAAAAAATATGGTTTTGATAGTTGTGATATATAATAGTTTACTCAATAGAAAATTATTAGTTCGAAAAGTTTATGGAAAACACGAAAACAAAAAAAAATATCAATTAAGATTGTCTTAATTTAGTATTCTTTGCAATATATAGTGATTTAAACACATTAAAACGATTCACCAAAAAAAAAAAACGAACAAATGTTATCGTTGATAATCTTGAGATTTTTTTAGACTGTCATCTTGCTCTTGCTCTTGATTTCATTCAGAAATGTGCATCAGTGCATGCAGAAAATCGCAATATGGTAAAGTTGGTGAATGTTTTCTCAAAAAAAAAGAAGTAAAGTTGGTGAATGGTGCATTGTTATTAATCGCGAGACTCTTGTTGAAACTCTTGCGCGGTTGTTTTTGTTTTATATCTGATCATGTCTTTTCGTGTTTATCATTTATCTATATATATGAGATCAGCGTACGTATTAAGCATATCTAGTTCATGTGGATTGTGGAATTAGGACTTAGGAAACAGTTCTTATAATCATTTTATTTGTAAGTTTACGTAATATGCGTTCCTTTGTTACCAGCATTTCTGTGTAATATGTGTTTCTCCGTAGTCTGTTTCAACCCTAATATTAGTAGGTTTACGTAATATGCGTTCACATACTTCCATTAAAATTTAAATAAATTTCTCTCGAGTAAAGTTCAAATCCCGGCTTTTAGAACTTTCTTTCTTTGAAGGTCAGTGACCAGTAGAGTTACGGAGGGCCGGGCAAGCAGGTCAAACCTATATTTGCGGCTCAAAATTTTTGATGTTTTGTTTATATATATTATCGGTTCATAATTATGCCTATACATAGAGTAAAGTACAGGTGGAGAGTTCGTTTCATCCTTGATCATTTTGTTTAAATTTTTTCCTTTAAACAAATCAATAATTAATGACCCAAATTTTGTTTTTGCTTGTGGCCGTTAAATTATCAAGGTCGTCCCTAGAGTTATCTTCACTTAGTTAATATTTTAAACTTTCGTATTCATTTCCTTTTTTAGCAAAAAAAAACTTTCGTATTCATATATATTGGGGTTCGCCAAAATGATTCGACATTCTTTTCTTGTCTTGAAGTGATATAAATAAAATTAAGGAGCTAGCTTGTAAACTTAAAACTAATTAAGAATCAATTGTTCAATATCACTTTTCTATTACTTTATATACCCTCTTAATTCAAATGCAAGAATCATGACACCTCCTTTCGGAATAGTGATTTGTGATTTG